CCAGCTGGCCCCTACCCATGCACCAGGCCTCTATCCTATATAATAAAAGGGTAATATTCAAATTGACCCTACAGCAGAACGACTGGGAATGACTGGTCACTATGATGCACACTGACCACCAGGGGGCAGACGCTCAATGCAGGAGCTGCCCCCTGTTGGTCAGTGCGCTCCACAGGGGGAGCTCTGCTCAGCCACAAGCCAGGCTGACGGCTGCCAGCACAGCGGTGGTGGCGGGAGCCTCTCCTGCCTCCTCAGCAGCACTAAGGGTGTCCGACTGCAGCTAGGCCTGCTCCCTGCTGGCAAGTGGACATCCCCCGAGGGCTGCCGGGCTGCCAGAGGGATACCTCACTGCCAGCTGAGGCCCGATCCCCTGGGGAGCGGGCCTAAGTCAGCAGGTGGTCATTCCCCGAGGGATCCCAGACTGCGAGAGGGCACAGGCTGGGCTGAGGGACCCCCTCAAGTGCACAAATTTTTGTGCACTGGGCCACTAGTAAATAAATAATGTTCTGACATACTTCATTGGTTCACTTTAATCTTACTCAGGGCTCAGCAAAGTTTTTCTGTAAAGGGCTAGATAGTAAATATTTTAAACTTTAGGGGCTATGCAGAATCTATGGTGCACAGTATTCTTGAATTTTTTTTATTGCTTTTTATTTCTTATGTATCCTTTAAAAATGTAAAAGTCACTCTTCGCTCAAATGCTGTACAAAAACCGGCCAGGGCTGGATCTAGCCTGCTGCCTATGCTCATAGTTTCGGACCTCTGGCTCTTACCCTTTAATGTCAATGAAAATATCAACCAGACATCAAGGATACAATCATTAATTGTACCCATGGATTGCCTGTGGATCCAAGAGTTCAGTAAAATTTTAAAAAAACCATGAACATTTTGTGAGAATCAGTTGGCTATGTGGAATTTATAATAATTATTATTGTATATTTAATTAATGTTTTAAAATGTGAACTACACAGCCTTTATATCAGTAACATGTGTAATACATTCATAAACATATATTTGTCTATCCATCTATCTTTCCCTCCATCCATCCATTTATCTCCACATCTAGACATCTATATCTTCATTTCCATCTGTCCTTGAGCATTCACAGCACATTGCTATGGTCCACCCTGCTTCTGTGGAGATTACCGTCAATGTTCTGCACTTTATAAACTGGATTCCCTGGACATGGTGGCTCAGCCCCACCTTGGCAGTTAGTGCTGCCTTAGATCCCTCTCTCTGCAATCCCATTAAGCCACAGCTGGGTAGTCCATTCTTTAAACCCAGCAGCAAAGCCATGCACCCTCACTGCAGCCACCCCTCTGGAATGATCCTGAATCTACATTTAAACAGAAAGTGAGAGCAAGAGACCCTCTCTAGCCTTTGTTGAACCCTCTCTTATGTCTTAGCTCATGCTGCTGTGGACTGGGGGGATTATACAACAGTTATTTATCACAATTTGGAGGCTGGGAAGTCCAAGATCAAGGCTCCAATAGATATGGCCCCTGGTGAGACCAGTCTTCTGGTTTACAGATGGATGCCCTCTCCTCTGTCCTCACGTGGCCAGAGAGGGAGCTCTCACCTCTTCATCTCCTTGTGAGGGCACTAATCCCATCATGGTGACTCCACTCTCCATACATAGTTATTGGCAACATGGGGGTGTGGATGATCTTAGCCTTGATCTCTAATGACACATCTTTGCTCTTCGTGATCTTCCCCAATTCTTCCATTGCTGCCTTCCAAGTCTCAGCCGTCTCTTAATTTCTTGGCTCTCATCTCCATTTGAACTGATGACTGAAACAAGATGACCAAAATCTTTAAACCTTTCAATGTCTTCAGTGTCTGTGACACAGTTTTGTATGGCTTCTGTAGTCATGATTTTTGTCTTCTTGATGTTCAGATGCAGTCTTGCTTAGCATTTTCTTCTTTCACTTTAATCAGAAGTTGTTCAAGTCATTGCTACTTTCTTCCAGTAAGAAGGTGCCACCAGCATATCTTAGGTTATTACGATTTCTTCCAAGGCTTTACCTTCCAAGGACCCTGCCTTCCTGGACTTTTCTAATGACGGAGAAGGAAGATACCCAAGTCAGCAAGTTGATGTACCATGTGATGTCTGGTTACAGTTGTTCCTGTAACTTTTAGGTCAGTGTGTGGAAGAAAGATGTATTGTAATTCTCTTCTCCTCTTTCATTCTTTCAGCGCTTCGGCTGTTGAAGGAGGGGGTGGACCCCCACACTCCCGTTTCCTCAGGAGGGTCCTTGCTCCATCTGGTAAGAACTGTGATGACCAATATAAGTGTGGGTGACACCAAAGACAAGGAGACTCAATTATGGGGTCAAAACTCAGTAGCAAGATGTACATCTGACAGATAATCAGAAAAAGGATGTTTCAAATTAAAAGTATTTGATAATAAATTTATATTTATGAATTACTTGCATTATAGTTTGTAAATAATACTTAGCAAATGGACTCAGAGTCTTTGCCTTAAAGAAGATGCTTTTGTAAATGAATAGTATTCAACAAATAAGCAAGAGAATATTGTATCAATTACAGAGTATTAGGCAATATTTTGTTACATCTATTAGTTGTTTTTGTTGCTCCAAATAACAATACTTTGCTTGTGGCCCAGCTCATATACATGTAAATAAAACTAACTTTCGTTCTTTTGGAAACAAAATGAGGAGATTAAAGTGATAAGCTAGATGGGAAACACTTTATTAATTCTTGAGTCAATGCAAATATATTGCATTTGTATACTGTTACACATAGATGAAGGGGGAAGACAGACCTGAAATACATGTAAGAAAACCCGGTGATGCCAGAAGGAACATCGTTCTCAGGGCTGAGCCTCCTTTTCCCGGGGTACTGAGTAAATAAAAACAAATGAAAAATTGCAGGTTGCCAGAAAGACAAAATTGCAGGGTTTCAAAATGACTTAAATACTGAAAAAGGCAATTTAACCATCTAAAATGTCAAGTGTGAGTAGGTTGCTCTGCAGCTTGCCCTATGTTTTAGGCATTCCACATTACAGCACCTCAGCTCTAATTATGTATTCTAGGGTCAAGGTCTTTGAGAAAAAGGCAGCCTATGTTTGTGTGAGGCAACAGGATAAGCTGTGGAAATCTTTGTGATTTTTCCAGTTTTGTTTATTTAACTCAGTTATTATTCAGTGAGTGCTTGACTCTTAGGGTAGATTTTTGTAGGACATTTCTCTTGGAAGTGCCACAAGAACTTTTATGTTGGAGATTAACCATTTCCACTATATTGCAGATGGGTATTTGAGAAAGAGGTTTTAATGTTTGTTTGTTTTTTCGGCATATAAAATTTAAAGTTACCATCTATACACTGAGTGGCCAGATGATTATGACCAGCCAGATTATTATGACCACCCCATCAGTACTTCATTGACACTTCCAAAAATATTGAATATTGAAAACTTCCTAAGCAAATACTCTCAAGGTTTTATTATTATTACTAGAGGCCCTGTGCATGAAATTCATGCACTGTTGGGGTCCCTCTGCCTGGCTGGCAATTGGGGCCAATCAGGGCCATCTTGCCCAGTCCTGATTGGAGCCGATTGGAGCTGGTGGCTGGGGAGGGACCGAGGGAGGGGCTGTGAAAGGGCTCCAGGGCATGTCCGGCCCCGTCTAGCCCATTCCCAATCAGCCAGACCCCAGGAGCAAGCTAACCTACTGGTCGGAGCATCTGCCCCCTGGTGGTCAGTGCACATCATAGTGACTGGTCGGTCAACCGCTCAGACACTTAGCATATTAGGCTTTTATATATATAGATTATTTGCATAACTAATTCACTTCATTGTACTGATGGGGTGGTCATACTAATCTGGCCGGTCATAATAATCTGGCCACTCAGTGTATTTTTAATAAATACATCTGAATTTGCCTGTTTACTTATCCTTCGCTAAATAATTCATGTATCAAACCTAAAGCAGGTATCAGATACTGTTATAGACAGAAGGGAAATAATGTCAACAAGTAACAATATAAGAAACCAGAAATTTAGTCTCATGAGAGCAATATAGATGGAAACTCAGATTTAACTCTTTAAAATAGTATGATATTTATGGAGTTGAAAACTGAATCCCAGAAGCTTTGCTAAAATGCTATCCAGGGTTTTTTGTTATGGCCTTAAATAAATGAGCTATCGAAGAGCTCCTGATGGTAACAAAACCTTCTTGAATGGAGTGTGAAAGCAAATTCTTTTCATTCCGCTCTTTGACAGCAGAAGGCCTTAGTGAAGCTTAAGTGGAATACATTAGAAGTAAGCAATATTATTTCTTTTACCTGGGGAATTCTAGTTTTATCATAAAGACTGTGATTTAAGCAGTGGAATTTCATGCAACTATGAAAATATTGAACCACATGGTCAAGGGCAACAAAGGTAAAAATACATAACTGGTACTACATCAGTCTAAACAGTTTCTTCACAGTGAAGGAAACCATCAACAAAATAAAAAGACACCCTACTGAATGGGAGAAGTTATTCACACATGATATATCTGATAAAGACAATATAAAAAGTATATAAGGAACTCATAGAACTCAATATAAAAAAACAATCTGATTAAAGATTGTGCAGAGGATCTGAATAGACATTTCTCCAAAGAAGATGTACAGATGGACAGTAGATATGGAAATATGCTCAATGTCACTAATCATCAGGGAAATGCAAAGTGAAACTACAGTGCGATACAGCCTCACACCTGTCAGAAAGTTGTCATCAAAGAGTCCACAAAATAACAAGTGTTGGCGAGGATGTGGATAAAAGGGAGCCCCGAGGCACTGTTGGTTAGATTGTTAAGTGATGCAGCCTCTACAGAAAACAGTATGGAAATTCCTCCAAAAATTAAAATTAGAACTGCCATAGTACTCAGCAATTCCACTTCGGAATTTGAAAAGATTTATGCAAAAGCAAAAACACTAATCTGAAAGCAAAATGCAAATCAGTAAACGTGATACATCATATAAACAAATTGAGAGATAAAAATCACATAGTCATATCAATTGATGCAAAAAAAGCATTTGACAAAATCCAACACCCTTTCTTGATAAAAACTGTCAGCAAGATGGGAATAGAAGGATCATACCTCAACATAATAAAAGCCATATATGACAAACCCACAGCCAACATCATAATCATTGGGCAAAAACTAAAACCATTTCCCCTAAGAACAGGAACAAGACAGGGATACCCACTCTCACCACTCCAGTTTGACATAGTACTGGAAGTACTAGCCATTGCGATCAGACAAGAAGAAGAAATAAAAGGCATCCAAATTGGAAAAGAAGAAGTAAAACTGTCCTTATTCACAGATGACATGATACTGTACATAGAAAACCCTAAAGACTCCATCAAAAATTATTAGACTTAATAAATGTATTTGGCAATGTAGCAGGATACAAAATTAATGCGAAGAAATCTATGGCATTTCTATACACCAATAATGAAATTACAGAAAGAGAGACTAAAAAAGCAATCCCATTTACCATCGCGCCAAAAAAATTAAGATACCTAGGAATAAACTTGACTAAGGAGGTAAAAGACCTATATGCGGAAAACTACAGGACACTGAAAAAAGAGATAGAAGAAGACATAAACAGATGGAAGAACATACCATGTTCATGGATTGGTAGAATCAACATCATCAAAATGTCCATACTACCCAAAGCAATCTACACTGAGTGGCCAGATTATTATGAACGGCCAGATTATTATGAACACCCCATCAGTACAATGAAGTGAATTAGTTATGCAAATAATAGTAATAAAAAAAAACCTTGAGAGTATTTGCTTAGGAAGTTTTCAATATTCAGTATTTTTGGAAGTGTCAATGAAGTACTGATGGGGTGGTCATAATAATCCGGCCAGTCATAATAACCTGGTCACTCAGTGTGTGTGTGTGTGTGTGTGTGTGTGTGTGTGTGTATCCCTCTTTCCTCCCTCATCTATTGATCTCATTGTACTATATGTACTAATCCCTGACCTGCTTTTGATATTTACCAATGTCTTAGATATATTTGCATATCTGTCATAGCTCAGTATTTTTAAAAAAATACTTATTAAAGTTTAGTTTGCATACAATATTGATTAGTTTCCATTGTACAACACAGTGCTTCAACATTTATATACCTTACAATGTGATCACCACAGTAAGTCTAGTATCCATCTGCCACTGTGCAAAGTTATAATGATATTATTGTCTTATTCCCTATGTTGTACACTATATCTCCCTGACTTATTATTTTACAACTGGAGTATGCTCCACTTTTCACCCATCCACAAACCCCCTCCATTCTTGCAACTATTGGTTTATTCTCTGTATCAACAGTGTCTGTTTCTGTTTTGTTGTTTATTTTGTTTAGGTTCCAAATATAGGAGAAATTATATGGCACTTGTCTTTCTCTAACATATTTCACCTAGCATAATACCCTCTGGAGTCCATAGATATTGTTTCAAATAGCAAAATTCACCCTTTTTTATAGCTGAGTAATGTCTCATTGTATATATGACACATCCTATTTATCCATTCATCTGTTGATGGACACCTAGGTTTTTTCCATATCTTGGCTATTGTAAATAATGCTGTAATGAACATAGGGTTGCATATATCTTTTCAAATTTGTGGGGTTTTTTTGTTTTTGTTTTTTTTCTTTATTAAATTCGAAATTGTGCAGCACCGCCCACTCTGGAGTCGCTGACTCATGCCCTTACCCCCCTGTTGCCCTTGAAGCAGCTGTGACTGCATATAAGTCCTTTGGTTGATCTCTCCGGCACGAGGAGGCCCCTGCCGCCCTACCTCCAACACTGCATGTGCACCCTCCTCCTGTCTGGTCGATCCGTTACAGCATCCCAGTTAATTAGCATATTTCTCTCTCTCTCTCTCTCTCTCTCTCTCTCTCTCTCTCTCTTTCTATATATATATATATATATATATATATATATATATATATATATATATATATATATATAGGCTTCACTGTGTTTCTCTAAAGTATCTGGAGCTCTAAGAAGCAGAGATAATTACTACAGTAGAAGCAGTTCAACAGCTTAACATCTTTAAAACCAAGGAGTAGATACTATATTTTGAAAAGAGGCAGAATACTAGGACTCTAGAGAAAATGGCTAAAAAACTATCATTATTAAAATGGTCTAGATGTTAACAAAAATAGTCACTATGTAGAAGGTGTCCTCCCTCTGCCCTGCTCACCCAAACCAGAACATCTGGGCAGAGACCATGTAACTCCACCCTCCTTTGTTTTCCCAGAAGAGAAAGGGCAAAAGCTGCAAGGGTAAAGTCTGGTGAGGAAATTACTCAGAATTGAGGAAAATATGCCCCCCACAGAGGCTGTGTGTGGGGAATTTCTTGGGGGATGTGGGGTGGGTAACATCCATACAGGACAGTGCAACAGGAAGCAGAGAGATAAATAAAGGAGCAAGATGGAAGCAAAGAGACGATAATGAGAGAGAAAGGGGAAAGTGTGGATTTGAGGGAAACTGGGAGGTGGGATGAATAAGAGGCTTGTCAATTCAGGGCTGGCTTCCTGGTCAGGTGGTCCATGTAGTCACAGAGGGCTTTGTTCTTAGAAGGGCTTATGCTTTCTTTCATCTTCTGCTGTCATCATCATTTTGAAATGCCTAGTACATTTTGAATCAGGGGTCCCACATTTTCATTTTGTTCTGGGTCCCACAGATTTTGTTTTGCTTGGCACTTTGAGAGGTAGAGGATGGTGGCAGGAGGGGCTGGGAGCTACAGGTCCAGGCGACAGGTAGAGATAGCTGGAGGTATCAGAGTGCTGTTGAGGGTGACAGAGTGGCTCTGCAGCCATTTACTTGGTATATAAAGTGCCACTAGGAATTGGACAAAGTGATAAAGAATAGCTTAAACTGGGATAGAGATTTGCCTGCTTGAGAAAAATTCTTTTCAGGGAGAATTAAGTTTACTATCTAACAATAATATTGTAAGAATATTATAACAGCCATGTTCAACCATCGTAATCTTTCCAGACAAGTGTGATTAGAGGGTATTTATTGCTGTCAAATTATTATTCATAATCTTCTGAAATGTGAATCTAAAAACGACATTACTTGCGAGGGGCTGATATCACTTTCAACACTGGATCTAATTAACTCTTTTTTGGTAAAAGGCACTGGAAAGCCAAGCCCTGGGTATCTGAATTGTAAATGTGGACTCCCGAGGTGCAGGTTGAGGATACCTTGGCAGGCACAGGAGAAGGAGGTCACATCTTTATGGATTATGCAGGGAGCTATCAAAAAGATGGGAGTAGAATATAAATTACTTCCATGTGAATTTCCTGAAATAAATTGGATCCAGGCTCCACATTCCAAAACAGTGTATTGAGCTTTCTGACTCTGGTTCTCACCTTCTCAGTCGTTGTGCCCAAACCTACAGCTCCTGCGGGTGGGGTCATATACCGTTTGTACCATCAGGGCCTGATAGTGGTGACCCTTGTTTTGTTACACAGGATGTGGAACATCTGACAGCCAAAGATCCCAGTTCAAAACTGAAACTCATCTCTCGATCTTCCTATGTTTGATGTTACCCCAGGTGTTTTCATGCATCCCAATACTGATGCATGCTCACATCTTCCTCCATATGGAATTTGTACCATAATTTTGCATTGTACTTAGTGTGTCATCTTGAGATTAATAGGTAATGGAGAAAGATATGACTATTCTTCCATGGCTATATATTACGGTTGTGAACCATAATTCCTACATCTTATTTTGTTTGTGAAATATCAGTTGAAATATTGTGCCTATTTTTTTTAAATTGGGTTGTCTTTTAATTACTACTTTTTAAGACAATCAAGTAATAATAAAACATAAATGTATCCACATAGTTTCCATTTCCATGCTATCAATCTGTTCGGTATCAGTTTGTTTGAAGTTTTCTTGCAGCTCACTGGTGATCTATCTGTTCATTTATTTAAAGCCATTTTTCTCTGTGTATTCCATTATGTATAATTGATATTACTGTGTTCAAGTTCATTAATCTTGTCTTCTGCAACACCTAGTCAGTTGTTAATCTCATCCAGTAGTATATTTTTCATTTCGTCCATTGTATTTATTATCTCTAGAACTAAAATTTGAGCCTTTTTAATATCTTCCATGTTCAGCAGTTCCCCTAGCTTTTTAAACATATGGAATACAGTTATAATAATAGTTTTAACACTCAGATTTGTTAATTCTAATAGGCATGTCACTTCTGAATTGGTTTCCGTTAATGACTTTTTCTTCTCATCGTGTTTCCTATTTCCCTGCTTTTTTTGTATATATGGTAATTTTTTCTGGATGCTAGACATAGTCAATTCTGCTGTGTTGGGTACTGAATATCTTTGTGTTTCTGTTAATAATCTTAAGCTTTGTTTTGGAGGCAGTTAAGTTATTTGGAAACAATTTGATCATTTCAGACATTGAATTTAATATTTTTTAGGTGAGAACACAACAGCGGCTAATTTAGGGATAATATTTTCCTACCCTGGATACAAAACACATCTGGTCTCTACCCAATGCCATAAACCGGTAAATTATGAGGTTTACACTCTGGCCAATGGAACAGGCACTATGAGCTCTGAGTCCTTCCTCTGTTCAGGAGGTTTCTTCTCTGATCTTGGGAAATTTCCAGGGAAATATATACTGATCATGACTCAGCTGAGTAGTTGAGGAGGCTCCAGCAAATCTTTGACATTCTATGTGCAGCCCTTCCTTCCTGCTCCCCTGCCCTGTGCCCTGAACCCATCTCTGTCTCTCTGGACCTTCAGTTCAGTTTCCTCATGACTGCTCCTGGTCAGCCAGGATTCTCCTCTTTGTTCTGTAGCTTGGGAAGTCTCTCAAGGCAGTAACCTGGGGCAACAGCTTTCAGAGGCCATAGTTTGTTTTTATTCAGTAAGTTGAGGTGGGAAGGTAAATAATGTCCCTGTTACTCAAATGTAGTAGTCTTCCAATGAATTGGTTTTACTTGTACTATTCATTGAAAAGGTAGATATATTGGTATGACAGTACTTCTGTTTTATGTGTCCAGGTTCTATAAAAAGTGTGCATCATACAACCCAGAAATTTCACTGATAGGCATTTGACCTATTAATAGGTCTTTTTTTTTACTAATATGAATTTGTCATTGATGTCATATGATGAAAATATGGAAAAGTCTTATACAAAGGATGAATAATTTTCAGGGCCAGGCACAAAATAAATATATGGGATTCTACAAAAGTTATTAAATATTCAAGATGGCAACAGCAGGGCACTAAGCTAAGGGCAGGATGCATCTCAGCACAACTCCACAGATCATACACTAATGAAGCAAGCTGTGTATTTTAACAATAAATAGTAAGTAAGAATAAAATATGTTCCTGAAGGTTTTGATCTAGTATATAGTAGAATATCTATAAAATACAATATTATGCAATTGTTAAAATATGTTAGAAGTTCAAAGAAACTTATCACAACAATTAACTTTTACAAGATGGCATGTTGTGTAATGCCTAGTTGTCTTATGTAACTAAGCCTGGGAAAGAATATATTCATATATTCACATATATAGCGAGATGTTGACAGATAAAGATGGAAAGACTGTGAACAGTCTTGTCTGTCTTGGATGAAATAAATGGTGAAACTGTTCTTTTGTTTAGTGAGAAACTAAACATTTTTAAAGCAGAAGCATCATGTGATTAAATCTGTCTTTTAGAAAGATAATTCTGATAAATGGTCCAAGATTTTCTAATACGACTGTTTGTAAATGAAGAGCACCAAAGCAGTGAAATATTTTTTCTCTTTATACTATCTGCACCTTCTTTCTTCCCACTGCTCACAGACTCAATTTCCCCTGACGTCTCAATTTCCCCTCTTCTCCTGTAGGTTAGTTGAGAAACATGAATACATTCTTTCCCAGGTTAGATCCACCTCTAAACTTCCAAAATTGACATTGGAGTTTTCTACCCATTGAAATTTGGAATAAACTGTATCATAACTTGTTAAAATATTATACTTTCATTTTTTCCCCTTTCCTTTAGTGTGCTCGTTATGATAACGCCTTCATTGCAGAGATCCTCATTGACAAAGGGGTCAATGTCAATCACCAGGATGAAGACTTTTGGACGCCAATGCACATTGCCTGTGCATGTGATAATCCTGATATTGTCCTGCTCCTCGTATTAGTAAGTAAAGCAATTACATTTATAACCATTTGAAGATTTGATGGCATATGAAAAGCTACATATTTCTCTAGTTCTATTTCACAATATGTATACTTCAACAGAGAGAAAAATGTGTGCATATGTCATGACTTATTTGCCTGTAATTACAAGATAGAGACTAAGGTTGTGGGTTACATAATTTGTAAAACCAATTGTGTAGATGTCATATCAGGCTCTACTCTTCTTTCTTTTTTCTTGGTTATTATATACCTTAATACTTCACAAGTCAGTCCTAACTAAAATGGTTTGATAATTGTAATTTTTCAATTCTTTCTTTTAATTTTTAGTCAACTAGGCATACAATAATGAAATATGGCTTGCATTGAGTCTTGTTCTCTTGTTCACATCTAATAAAGAAGTGTCTATAACATTTATTTGTATGAAAATTTTAAGTATAAAAATTATTGGAGTTATTTGTTGTTTTCAATTATGGCTTAGCCAGTGGTTCTCAGCTTTCTGGCCCTTTAAATACAGTTCCTCATGTTGTGACCCAACCATAAAATTATTTTCGTTGTTGCCAGAGCCGGTTTGGCTCAGTGGATAGAGCGTCGGCCTGCGGACTCAAGGGTCCCGGGTTCGATTCCAGTCAAGGGCATGTACCTTGGTTGTGGGCACATCCCCAGTGGGGGGCGTGCAGGAGGCGGCTGATCGGTGTTTCTCTCTCATTGATGTTTCTAGCTTTCTATCCCTCTCCCTTCCTCTCTGTAGAAAATCAATAAAACATATTTAAAAAAATTATTTTTGTTGCTACTTCATAACTGTAATGTTGCTACTGTTATGAATCATAATGTAAATATCTGATATGCAGGATGGTCTTAGGCGACCCCTGTGAAAGGGTCGTTCGACCGCCAAAGGGGTCGCGACCCACAGGTTGAGAACCGCTGGCTTAGACCCTTATATTAATCCTCATAAACAATACTTTTGTTAAAAAAGAGTGTCAACCCTTTATAGACATTCAGCGTGTACTTGTTGAATACATAAATAAACAAATAGTGAATAAATGGCGGGCCTATTTTTGGAAGACAGTCTAAATTTAACATTGCCGTTATTAATGTGTATCTAATAAAAACTGCCTTACAGCCACATTCATCTTTTTACCTGTTCTAAAATTTCTCATTCTACTCATTTTGCACTTATATTCGGAAGTGCTTGCTTCAGCACACTAATCATCTCAGTGTCTGATGATGTTGCTCTTCATTACCAGACAGAATTAAGAAATTGAAACTGGTTTTATTTCATATATAAACATAGATTTAAATTTTTAATTGTCAAGCTATTCACATTTTTATGCTTCTGTCATGCCATTTCTCACATCATAGAATAATCCAACCTTATATGCAAAGTTATATATTTGTTAGTTACTGTTTTTCAGTAAACTTCATATGTTGGTCACTATCATCATTCTTTTAACTAATATTTATTGATTACTAATTTTTGACATAATAATTTCTTCTCTTAAATATATTGCAGTTTATTCATTCAGCAAATATTTATTGAATGTCTACTATGTCCTAAGTCCTACACAATGGACAAAAAAAGACATTTTATCATTTTATCTTATAGAGTAATGGTAAAACCAAACAAAAGAAAGTAATTTAAGTGCACCATCAAGAAATTTATTAATGGATTAAGCAATTCTGAGTAGCCTCATTGCCACTATGTTATAGCTAGCCCGCCAGTCATCTACCAAAATAATTCACTTTCCAATAAATTTCAATGAAATACATTGTCATAAAATTGTAATTCATGTAGAAATATGTTCCTGCTAACAGCCTCAAAATTGAGATGCCATTGTATATTTAGTCTTTCATGTTCAATATTCTTTTCATTTTCCAAAGCTTATTGATGAGTAAGGGAGACTGTGCACATTCACTTATTCAATTCATATCTCTGAATGCTTTCTATTCTATACTAAGGGGTTCAGCAGTAAATAAAGGAAGCAAAAGTCCCTGCCTTTTGGAACTTAACATTCTCCTGGAGAGAAACAGGAAAAAATACATAAATGAATAAAATTTATAGTATGTCAACTAAAGAGAATTGTTGGAGGAAACAAGGAGAATGAAGTAGAGGGTATTAAGGAATAGCCTGATGCGGAAGGTGATATTGGAGCTGTGAGCCTGTGGAAATGTGGATGCAAAGTGTACTGGGCAGAGGGAACGGCAAGTGCGAAGCTGTGTGGCAGCATCATGTGCTTGAGGAACAGGAGAAAAGTGCAGCTCCAGTGGAGTAGACGAGGTCAGGGCAGGACATGAAGTCAGAGAGGCAGTGGAGCTAATCGAACCTTGCAAGGACGTTAGATCTACTTTTATTACAGGAGATTAAGGGAACCATTGGAGGGTTTTGAGAAGGGAAGTGACATGATCTGACCTACATTTAAAAGATCACTCTGGCTGCTCTGTTGAATACAGACCATGGGAAGGGAAAGGGAATTATATGGATTACTAATAGGAAGCTGTTGCCACTATCCAGACCACACATGGTGGAGGTGGTGAGAAGTGGCTGACATCTAGATGTTCTGAAGGTCAAGTTTTAGTATTTGGTGTGCGACTGGATTTAGGGCTTGAGAGAAATAATAGGAGTCATGGATGATTTCCACTCTTTTTTGGCCTGAGCACTGGAGGGTTGCAATTTGCTGAAATGCAGAAGAATGTTAGAAGGAGGGGCATGGAGTTGGTGTTAAAAATGAATGACCGCCGAACCGGTTTGGCTCAGTGGATAGAGCGTCGGCCTGCGGACTGAAGGGTCCCGGGTTCGATTCCAGTCAGGGGCATGTATCTTGGTTGTGGGCACATCCCCACTGGGGGGGCGTGCAGGAGGCAGCTGATTGATCTCTCTCATCGATGTTTCTAACTCTCTATCCCTCTCCCTTCTTCTCTGTAAAAAATCAATAAAATATATTTTAAAAAAATGAATGACCAATATAAGAAAAGGCTAACAAAATTACTATGAACACAGGAGAAGAATAAATGATGGAAGAGAAATAGAGAGTTGGTAAGTTGTACAATCTGAGAGAGGATGTGGGAGAATTTAGCTTATAAAGGAGAATAAACACCTCTTTAAGAATAAAACAAAGATTTAATAAATACAAAAAAATCAGTAGTTTGTTAGTAGGAAGATGAAGGCAGTAGCCTGAAGACTTCAATTTTCTCAGTGAAGTTGAAGTCAAGATCAACTGCTGAGAAAGAGAGTAAATATTATGTGTGGTCATGTACATAAAGAGTCAATAATGAGGCTCTTAGCTCAGTCCTTATGCCATGGTCCTTATTGGAAAATCAAATTTACTTTGAACCATTTGGATTTATAGCTCATTTTCTAGGGAGAAACATAAGCTCCTGAAATACAGCAGGGTACCCTATCTCCTAATATTTAACAAATCAAAGTGGTGAAAAGAGTTATTTATACCTAAACAACATAATTATAATAGTAGTATTTAATCCAGGAATAGTCAAAGCAACTATTGAGTGGAATTTTGGAATGGTTTAATTTTGATCTATCAATTTAAGCCACCCAACACAAACAATTTCCTATGTCAGTTATGACAAAATTTTTGGGTTGCAGCAGTTGCCAGCAGAACCGATAAAAATGATCTAGTTCCACAGTGCCCATTAGACACAGTCCATGACACACTTCATCCAACAGGCAATAAAATTACTAACATCAGATGTTCAAACACAAACAGGCCAAGGATGGAGAAAATATTCACTGCAAGTTCCAGCTTACCCCATTGTTACTGAAGTGAGACAATGATAAAGACATTATTGAGCATCACTTAGTAAATGGCTATTCATTTTCTAATACTTCCCCTTCAGCCTTCTGATTACGAGGAGTGAGAATATTTCAAAGGTCTCTCAGTATTATGTAATAATAATAATTCAGCAATTCACTATTGCCTATCACCCTTTAAAAATAAAACTAATACATGTGACACTTTATCCTTCATTTATCATTATTTATTGAAATTATGTATAATAGTAACATTTATTAAATGGCTCTGGGATATGTATCAAATCATATCCGCCCCAAATTTTTAATAGGAGAGAGAAACAGGCTGAGATGATTAGTCAGGAACACAGGTAATCATTTTTCTCAATACAAATATCATACAATATTTTACTCAAATTATTTTTGTTTTGAAATAATTAATGCCCCCCCTCCCCCCAGAAGTTTCTTGTGGCTCAAGTGCAATGAACTGTTCAAATGTGCAGATTCATCACAGCTTTAGAACTGCTAACAGAGCAGAGTAACTTAGCAACTGTGGGCACATTGAAAAATTAAATGTGAAATTTCAGATCTGGCATGCTGCAGATATATGGAAATCTTTAATCCAGTCATCAGAAAAGAAGTGAGATCTGAGCAAAGTTATTCAGAGACCATTCCCTATGAAATCACATTGTGCAAAACAGCAAAGAGATGTCTATTGTTCCTCTGTCAGCAGGCTAGCCATGGAGTAGATTCTGAAGATATTTTAAAAGCATGTATTCAGGGCATAGATGTATTGATACTACATGCTAGAAAGATATATATATCTTTATATATCTTTTTATATATATATATATATATAAACTTATTAAAATAAATATGTCAAGGTTTTCAGGGAATAAAGTTTGACATACTTTGAGTGAATCACTTTTCAGTCTTTATCAATTATTCTTGAATAACCGAAAAGCATTTTAAAATCTTGGAAACAGAAAATTATGGTGAGATTATTTTTTAAAACTAGAAAATTATTAGAGTTATTGAGCACTGGTGTTTGAATATGGCACAAATTAGAAAATACTTTTAAAACTTCATAATGTGGAATGCAAAATAAAAAATGTATATATGTGAGATGCTCAAATAGTCAATAAAATAAGGCAAGTGAAAGATTATAATGTAAAACACATACTCTCAACCCCATTAGATACATACATGTGCCCATCCTCCCCTTATCATCATGTCAGACTTTTGTCATGCCAATATGT